TTAGGTATAGTAAATCATGTTTCAATGGATGGGAAAGTGCAGGCATCTCTCTGACCAACGGATCTTAATTCCTCTGGATGCATTTTAATTCCTTTGGATACACTTTTTCAAAAGTGAAACTGCCAGATTATGTGGTAATTCTTTTGAGTTTCTTCTTCTTTTTTATAAATTTTTTTCTTTTTTTGAGAGGTTTTTGCTATAGGGCGCATGCGCTCGCCAGACAGACAGAGAGAGATAGAGAGACGGAAAGCGAGAAATCACCCCCCAGGGGGGATGTTCACACCACAATCCCTTCTCCTCCATTCTCCTCTCGGGATCTTGGGCACGCACGCACATGCGCCCGGTGTGAGTTTTAAGCCATGGGGTCTGGGACGCGAACCGCGGTCGACTATGTGGGAGTCCAGCGACATAACCATTACGCTAACTGCTGGTTCCCCTTTTTTATAAATTTGTTAAGGTTTATTTTATTCATGATAGGAGTATGCAAAAACACAGGAGAGAGAGAAACAGTCATCCTCGACAGGGTTTCGCCACATTGAGATATCCTTACCCCAGTTTATCAGGCTCTTGGACACTTACACATATGCTGGTGTTTCCAATCTACCAGGCTAGGGATTCGAACCCATTATTGACCATGTGGCTTCCAAGAGTTCAGTACACTACCATCTGTGTCACCAAGGCTGAGTCTATTTTGAGTTTCTTGAAGATTATCTTATAAACTATTTTCCAAAATGCTTGTGTGAAGGAGGGGGCTTCCCTCTTACACAAAAAAGCCCACCTTTGTAGAAAATGCATATTATGAAAAAACCATGCAATGGATTTCAAAATGTTTTTGCACTAAAATAAACTTATCCTTTAGTTCCACTTTTCCATGGACTTTTAGAAGCCCCCTCATATATGGAGTCATAAAGTATGCTTTCTTTTTCATGGCTTCATTAACACAGTATAACAAATATCCATGCTGCTGCCACCTGTTACTAGTTCATTCTTATTTACTGCTGAGTCATATTCTACTACATGGATATACCATAATTTGTTTATCCATGTAACTATTTCTAGTCATTGTTTCCACCCTCTCTCAGTTTTTGGCTATTATAAATAAAAGCTGCTATAAATATGAGTGTGCAAGTATTTGGGTAGGTGTATGTCCTCATTTCTCTAAGGTAAATCCTCCCAGGACGAAAAGCTGGGTCACATGGTAGATAAAGTTCTCAACTCAAAACTGCTTTCTAAAACAGCAAGGAGAAGGCCACGAACCTTTCAGACATATGCTGCTGATGGAGATTTATTTATTCACCAAATGTTACTGAGGAACTGCTGAATGCAATCAACAGTCACAGAGCGCAGAGCGATGAACAGGCAGACAGCCACAGTTCCTACCTGATGGTGCTTACACTCCAGAAGAAAAAGCAGACACTTGGGACTGGCAGTTAGCATAATGGCTATGTCGCTGGACTCCCATGTAGTCGACCACAGTTCGAGTCTCGGACCCAGTGGCTTAAATTCACGCCAGGCACGTGTGTGTGCATGCCCAAGATCCAGAGAGGAGAATGGAGGAAAGGGGACTGCAGCATCGCCATCCCCCCTGGGAGGGGATTTCTTACTTTCTGCCTCTCTGTCTCTCTTTCTGGTGAGAGCATGTGCCCTATAGCAAAAACCTCTCCAAAAAAAGAAAAAGAAAAAGCAGATACTCAACAACATGGCTCACAATGAATCATTTGCCAAACACAGAGGTACAGAGTGCTCTGAAAACAACCTAGATGGGGTCTCTCTAAAGGCTTCTCTGAGACGCTGCATCTGAGCAAGTACTGGGGGATGCAGAGGAATTAAAAGATACAGGTGCATCAGGCTGTGATAAGTGCCACAGAGAATACGGTAGTTCTGAGTCTTAAAGAACTCCTTGGGAGATACACACACACACACACGTAAATATATACATTCATAAATATATGAATATATACGTGAGTATATATATGAACATTGTGCACATGTGTTTTTTTTAATTATTTTATTTAACTTTATTTATTTATTTGTTCATTTAATTTGACCAGAAAGGGACAGAGAGAGAGAGAGGAAAAGTGAGAAAGCAAGCCACCAGGTCTGGGACTCAAACTGAGGTCAGCCATGTGGGAGTGTCCAGCGCCCTTAACCACCATGCCATGTGGGTATGTATTTTTAAACTGATTTCTTTATCCACTTAATCAGTCAAGCCTGCTCCTAATTTCTGCATGAAAATTAATACTGGGTTTTGGACGAAAAAACAGGAGTTAGAAGTACCATCACCTCTGTGTTCTGAATCAATAGCAAGCTGAATACCCTTTTCAGAAGAGAAATGTCCCTTTTATACAATGAAAATGACAACCTCTCCCATGAATTGTCGTAGAATCATGAGTGGAACAATGGAAAGAGTAACAGCAGTCATGATTGCAACAGCAATCCGTCCGTCAGGAAGACAATGAACTCTCCAGGGTAGGCACTAAGTAATTCCATCAGCACACAGGACCGCCTCGCAGTGGAGGCACTGCCACTGCCATTTTGTATAGGAATAAATGAAGACCCAGAGTTGAAATAACTTGTTGATAACCATAAACTGGTCAGTGACAGAGCAGGAATTTGAGCTCAGAGCTACCCTAAACTTACCCACAGTATTAATCATTATGCAAGAAATAACTTTTTAAAAAAACCCTAAAGCACCAAGGGTAACGGTACCTCAGAAACTTATGTGTTTGCATTAACATCAAAATAATTTAGTGGGAACCAGCAGTTAGCGTAATGGCTATGTCGCTGGACTCCCACATAGTCGACCGCGGTTCGTGTCCCAGACCCGGTGGCTTAAAACTCACGCCGGGTGCGTGTGCGTGCGTGCCCAAGATCCCGAGAGGAGAATGGAGGAGAAGGGATTGCGGCGTGACCATCCCCCCTGGGGGGTGATTTTTCGCTTTCTGTCTCTATGTCTCTCTCTGTCTGTCTGGCGAGCACACGTGCCCTACAGTGAAAATCTCTCAAAAAAATAAATAAATAAAATAAATAATTTAGTGATAAACAAATGACACACTGATGACTCTAAGTACTACTTTTGAGGACCAGTGGTCTTTGACAAATGCCATGTAGAGTAAAACCCTCAGGGAAATGTGGTGTCAGACAAACTTGGATATAAATCCCAACTCTTCTACTTATTAGCTGTGTGACTTTGGCCAAGTTACCTGACTTTGTTTAGTCTCAGCACAGTGCAAGAGAAACGATTTGTGCCTTGTATGTTTGGGGAAAGATCACAGGTAACGCATGATGAACACAGGAGGTAGTCATGAATGTTGTTCCTTCTGCAGCATCTGCAGAAAATAGTGACGACCAGAGATGAGGCAGCTTCCTGGCCTCGCTCCTCTTCCCCAGAGGGGACATGGAATCGAGTACAGTGATCAGCTCACGCAGGGAAGATGAGCATTCAGCCCCTTGGTTCTGTACTTTCACTATTGAATTTGTCGTTCAAATCAAACTGATGGCTGAAAGTGATCCCAGGTTTCGATATTCATGAACTCGAAGTTGAAAAGAATCGCAGGAATACATTTAGCTCCGTTTTGTTTTATTAGACTTCCTACAGAGGAAATGAAGTACTGAAGGGGTAGCATTCTCTCCTGGCTATATTCCAATGTTCCCTTTCTCTACCTCACTTTTACCACAAAAAAATGAACACATGGACAGTGTGAAGCCATTAGATGCAATGAAGAGAAAAAATACTGGCCCCCAAAGTCAGTCTTTTTGCCATGGCCTGGCTAGAGAAACAAACAGGGCATTTGCCTTTTTTAAAGGTGGGAATCATGGTATGCCAAGTATCATCCAAACCCTAGATTAAGGTGCTGATGTCAGAGCCGTTGCCTTGAGTGGAGAGGGATCCAGAAAGATGAACATGCTGTTAGCTACTCTTACGCTTTCATCGACTGATAACTGTACCGACCAGGAATCACCCATCGGCCTACGTCATAGCAGGTTCTCTTACATTCAAATGGAGCTACATTAAAGCAAACAAAACAGCTGAGAAAACCTGAGCTTTTCATTCTTGGTGGTGGTTATGGTATGGGAGGGAACCCTATTTCTTCTCCTTAAAGCCCATTTCCAACGTAAGGGTTTGAAAGTAAATTTCCAAAACAAATATGTGTACCCAATATGGTTTCATTTAATACAATTTCAGGATTTCTTAAGAACCCCAAATTCAGTAAGCCCTAAGTGAACTGAAGAAAACAATGACCTCTCGTGAAGGCAGGGTGAGTGTAGGGATACATTTCACCACTCCCCCGCGCCCGCTGTAGCTAACTGATTTATACCCTCGTTGCGCTCGGCCCAAGGCAGCGTTATGCCCCTGCAGCCGCGGGCCTCCGCCCGTCTCCATCATGCATCTCGCGTCCATCCTCCCTGACGGGCTCATCAATTCCTATTGCCTTTCACCAGGCCTGGGCTCTGGCACTTTCCCCCGGGAGACCTTTCCTGGTCTCCATACTTAACCCCTGAACCCAGCCTAATCCATCAGCTGCAGGGATAGAGAATGTTTTTCCCTAAAGACAGCCAGCCAGCCTCTCCACTTAAAGCTCCGAGAGAAAGCCATCAACAGGGTCTGCTTTCTGTTTGTCAGTGTCGCCAGCCTCTTCGCTCACTGATGTTTTTATTGTGGCACTGCCCAGCTGCCCGCGTCGGGGAAGTGCTATTCAAGGAGACATCAATTAAGTGCTAGTTAAATGCTAGAGACGCTCTTTTGAAAATATCCCAAGGGACTCTCCTAGGGAGTTCCCAAAGCCAGCGGAGGACACGGTCGTCCTTTTGGAATAGGGTCTCCCCCAGGTTTTAAAGAACGGCTCCAGAACCCACATGGTATGCCCAGCTTTTAAACTCCGGCGGGAGACTAGAAGTGACGGCTTTAGCGAATGAGACACAGTATCTCGCTAGGGCCAGGCAGCAATACCTGCCGGGACACCCCGAGCACACACTGACACCGATGAAGGCCCCCTCACCTCGTAACCGAACTGCAGCTCGTCGGAGGTCAGCATGATGATGTCATCGTCGATGGCCAGGACCGCCTCCGTCTCGATCTCATCGTATGGGAAGAAACGGTTACTCAGCTTGTTTTCAGCAGTCCTCACGACTTTCAACGGGACCCGGATTTTAGGCCACAGAGAATCTACACAAAGAGAAAACACGGTAACTCTCCTACCTCCTGTGAGGGCATAATGTGGGGGAAGCCCCAGATCGCAAACGAGATAGGAGAATCAGCTGGCGCCCACGCTCTCATCAAACCCAAAGGGCGACTGTGCGAGGGGATTCTTACAGGTGCCTTTTACTGTAGGAAGAGGTGCGCACGGACACTTGCTCTTCTCTCTCGATCCTACAACACGACTCGTCCTCGATGCTGTCCTAACGAGAATGAACAAACTGGCTCCAACTCACCCGTGAGAGGCAGAGAAGCAAAACGAGCTGCCTGAAGTCGCAGTGAGGGGAGAGAAAGCGAGTCTGGTCTCTTCTCAGGACTGTGGCTTTACTATCAGAATTCTGTCACCTCTGCTAAATGCTCTGCAAGATCCTGGCGGGAGACGCAGGCCGGCTCATAACCGTCTGCAGCCATGCGGGAGATCGAGTGCACGAGTGAAGACGCCTACCTCTCGTGCCCTCTGCTGCGGCATGTGGTCCGCACAGCGCTCTGCGCTGCTGAACCTCCCCCTGCACAAAAGTGCATTTCACCGGACACAGCACTTCACCCCTCCCACCACTCACCAGGACCAACTTACAGGGTAAATATCACATTTCTAGGCCCAATCATATGAGATTTCCTAGTACACTGAAAAAACACCAATCCATGACTTGTCGTACATTTTTTTACATTCTATTTTAAAATGATTAGGGTAATTCAACTACAGGTTCTTTATGTTAAAATGCTGCACTTAAAATAGCATGAAATTGGGGCCAGCAGGTGGCATAATGGCTACGTTGCCAGACTCCCATGTAGTCGACCACGGTTCGAGTCCCGGATCCTAGGAGCACCTCCACCTAAACTCAGTGTGTAGGGGTGGAGGTGCTCCTAGCGACGCCGGTGCAAGTAAGAGGCCCCACAGCTATGAAAGAATGCCAGAGAGAGAACAGAGACAGTGAGAGGGAGAGGGAGAGGGAGAGATCACCCCCAGGGGGTGTGGCCACACTAATCCCTTCTCCAGGGATCTTGGGCATGCACACACACATGCCTGGCATGAGTTTCAAGCTACCGGGTCGAGGACTCAAACTGTGCTTGGCCATATGGGAGTCCAGCGACATAACTGCGATGCCATCAGCTGGCCCTGAAGTTCATGATCTTAAAAATGGCCCACCTCATAGAACCCAAGTGGCATAGTACAAAGGAAGCACGTTTGGGAAAGGGCTGGACCAGAGGCATGACCCACCCAGGCCACCGCCTTCTCTTTTTTTTGAGAGATTTTTGCACATGAGCTCGCTGGAGAGACCGAGAGACAAAAGGCGAGAAATCAAGCCCCTGCGGGGGGAAGGCCACACCACATTTCTCTTCCTTCATTTCCCTCTCAGGATATTGGGCATGCATGCACACGAGCCAAGTGTGAGTTTCAAGTCACCGGGTCCAAGACTCGAACTGCAGTCCACCACGTGGGAGTCCAGTGTCTTAACCACCATGCCACCTGTTGGCCCAGGCCATTGCCTTTCCATTGGTAAAGACGGGTAGTTACAGTTTCACTCCGGGAACACGATCATTCCGTATTTTGGAATAAATGAAGGACACATGACTGGGGGCGGGAGACCTGGGTTCTGCGTGACCGATGGGACCTTCAAGTCCCTTCTTCCCAGGGTAAGAACATGCAGAAAGAGAGAAGAGGCCCTTCACTAAGCAACTCCACCTCCTGACCCCCGCAGGGCGCGGACGGTGCTCACCCAGTAGTACCTACAAGGCTCACAGAGGTTAAGGACCTTGCCTACTGAGCACAGCTGACAAGTGACAAGGCCAGCACTCGACCTGGGCTTAGCTAGCCTCGAAGGTCAAAAGGGACGCGGACCGCCTGTTGCAGATTGAGAATCTGATGCTTCTCTGGATTTGGAACAAAACCAGGAAGGTTCAGTCACCTTCTCCAGCAACCGTTTTTATTCCTGCTTGCTTCCCACTTCCTATTTCAGATGAATGAAATCTTTTTCAAACATCTACTGTTCCCGAGTTCTTATAAAACATGGATAAGTTACGGTATCTAAGATGAGGGTGATGGCCTACCAGACCAGCAGTTCGCAAGCTCTTCTCTCAGAATCTCTTTACGCCCTTAAAAATGACCGAGAATCCCAAAAGTGGTGCACACGCACACTCACAATTTACTGTGCTAGAAATGAACACCGAAAACATTTTAAAACACAAGCATCCACAGGTACATGTTCATCTTTAGCTGTTAGCGTTGCCATCTCATCACACAGACTCTGAAAAACACTGCACACGTGTGAGAGGACTCGAGTGGCAAAGGAAATGACTTAGTATTATTAGGAAAACAATGTCCACTCCCACCCTCCAGAGAGCATCTCAGAGGTACCTGGTCAGCCTTTGAGAACAGCTGCGCTAGGTTACGTGTTGACCTCTGGGTAGCACAATGTAAGAGCGGTACCAGCAAACCCGGAAAACGGTTCAGAAGGAGCAATGGGGCCAGTGCAGGCATCGGATTCCAGCATTCTATAGAAGGCTTAAAGAAACCATTGGGTCGCTGGGAAAGTCATGACGCATCTTTGCACAGAAAAACATAGAAAAATCCGTCATGACTTTTCCAACAATCCAGTAAGTGTGGCAGGGATCAGCTTATGGCCTCTCGGCTTTAGTCTTGGCCGCCCTGTCTGTGATCCCTGGGCAGGACCCTGCCCGCAGTTCTCCTCTGCCGGCTGTACAGTGCCGAGCTCTGTCAGTAGAGGGCACTGAAGGAACACTGTGGGGCAACTGTGTTTCCCTCCTGGTATGCGGGTGCCCTCCTTGGGTACTGGCCAGCAGGCAGTGGTGCCACCTCCGGCAGGTACCAGTGCCACCTTCTTGGGGCCCCTTCCCAGCAAGCTCTGTGTGGATGCCCCATCAGCAACCTGGCAGGGGTTCTCTGCTGGGTGGTTCCAGCTGAGCTCTGCTGAGGCCCTGCCCATCAGGTTGGGGGACACCCCCAGCCCCACCCCAGGGCAGCTCCTAGTGAATTCTGTGGGAATCCAAGAGAGTGGCCGTTTCCTCCTTGCCAGCCTTGGCCAGCGGCAACTCAGCAAACATGACCATCCAGTGGGCTCCAGTCCCTGCTTTCTCCAACAAGGTCTGAGTCTCAGGTCTGCCCAGGCAGAGGCTCTCCCGGGCTCACGTCCTGAGTCTTGAGAGTTCTCACTGCTCAGTGGACAAGGCTTGTTCCTAGTTAATAATTCTTTACATTTTTCCTGCTCGGATGACAGTGGTTTCTGTTTCCTAACTAGTGTCTTCACCACTACGCCACCCGTTGGCCCCAGGCCACTGCCTTCCCATCAGTAACGACAGGTAATTACAGTTTCACTCCGGGAACATAATCGTTCAATATCTTTGGAACAAGTGCATGAACACATGACTGAGAGCCAGAGACCTGAGTTCTTCCTGGACTGATACACGAGGGATTATCAGGAAGGTTACTGATGAAAAGGAAATCGTTCTCTAGGGCCTCCAGAGCCAGAGCCGTGCCCGATGGCTGGGCGAAAGTTAGAGGGACACTGATTTAAGTTCACAACAGGAAAGAACTTCCTGCTGGTGTAAACAAAATGAAATGCCTTTGGCACTAGCATGTGCCCTTTTACTTGAAACGCACTAAATCAGGCCACGTTTCTTCTTGACATTAGGAGATACTAAGCGAGATGTCTTCGCGGTCCTAGGAATCCACAAGGCAGTAACATCACAGAAAGCACGGTTTTTGAAAATAACTTGTAAACCCTGAGTCTACCCACTGACAGTCCTGTGACCTTGAGCGAGTCGATGGCTTCAGCTGACACCATGGTCACATGACTGAGGATGACCGCGGAAGCATTTAGCAGCACAGCGTGGTGCACGGCAGACTGTCACTATACGTTCGTTGTACCTACTTACAGAAACGGGACGTACCGAACGGAAGACTGTGGCAGCCGCACGATGCATTTTATTTTTGTTTTTAATTTTTTTTTTTTAAGGTTTTAGCCATAGGGCATGTGTGCTCACTGGACAGAGATAGAAAGAGGGAAAGTGAGAAACCAACCCCCAGGGGGGTGGTCATACTGCAGTCCCTTCTCCAGTCTCCTGGGATTTGGGGCATGCACACACACGTGCCCGGTGTGAATTTCAAGCAGCCAAGTCCACGATTCAAACCACACCACCTGCTGGCCCTAAAAAGTAGTGCATTTTAGATCTGGAACACCACCCTTCCCCCAGCTCATGCCTTCCAAGCCCACTTCCAGAAAAGCCCAAATCCCTGCCATTCATCCTCCAGAACGAAGAACTCTCACACACTAGGGAAACAAAAGAGCCTGGAACTTTTGCCATGTTAACTCCACAAGGCAACAGACAGCTCCTCTTCTTCCTCCATGTGCATTGGACGGGCTGCTGCTTTGGTAAGGGGAACACACCTCCACTCCAGACAGAACACAGACTTTGGCCTGGGCAGTGTGCACAGCGCGTTGGACCCACAGACAGCTTTCCCATTCTCCACCTACACACAGCCAGAGAGCTCCTCAAGGCAGTGTCCGTAAAGGACTGATCTGCCCCAGGAAAGCCTCTGATGGAGAAGTTTGAGAGTGATGAAGACCAAGGAGGATGACAGGGTATGCTGATGGAAAGGTAGACTGAATCAGCTTTTTGTAAATATGGTTCCTTTCCACTATTCTAAGTTAGGTCTAGGTAGCCAAAAGTCACTTGGGCAAAAGGAAATGTCCATTTTCGATGTCGGCCATCTCCGGACTTCACTACCCCAAGGCAGGCTCTAAACAGAACTCGTCGTCTGTCGGTTTATCGCTTTGACCTTTTCCAGGAAACAGGCCTGCGTGACGGGGAACGACCGTTACCTCAGCCTTCTCTTCTACGGACGTCAGGGAGGACGGGCGGCAATCAAAGAGTAAGCATCATAGTGACCCTGCCCCTGAAGCAGACCATCCCGGGCAGAAATTCTGATTCTAGAAAAGTTACCTTCAAAACTTAGGACTAGGGACCAGCAGTAATGGCTATGACTATGGACTCCCCCCAGGGGGGATGGTCACGCCGCAATCCCTTCTCCATTCTCCTCTCAGGATCTTGGGCGCACACACGCCCAGCATGAGTTTAAGCCACTGGGTCCGGGACTCGAACCGCGGTCGACTACGTGGGAGTCCAGCGACATAGCCATTAGGCTAACTGCTGGTCCCCATCAGCAAATCACTCTTCTAATCTGAGGTTCATTTTTATTTTTGAAAAGTGGGGATAACGATGGTTTCCTGCAGGCTTGTCACGAGGGCTAGAGAGAATCCGTGCTTAGCACGGCTCTTATTCCAAGGACAGAGAGGGCGCATAGTGAGTGGGCATAGCAGCAGCGTATCATTAGAACTTCACAGATGAGTTACTTTAAAGTTCGAAGAACTCCATTTCTCTACTCATAACTCGAAGAGCTCTCGACAGGAGGATGTGGAGATGACTCTGCAGGCCCCAGCCTACTGCTGAGTTAGCCCAGGTGGGGTCTCCGTGCTCCCGGCATTGTGACTTGAGCGCATGCCCTCATGGCCTGTGTCTCATCCTGTGAGTCCGTACCAGGCAGAATAGAAATGTCACTTTCCATTCATACAAAAGAACTTGGAAAATAGGATTTTTCAAACACGTTGCTGAATTTATGAAAAACAAACAGCCGAGCCAGGTGACCTGATCACTTCACAGCATGAGCTTCGGTCCAGCTCAAAGAAGAAAAAGAATGTCTTGTGTCCAGGATTCTTTTTTTAAAGTATATTGATGAACAGTTTTCTCCATGTTGGATGCCAAGAGAGATGTGAGCAGAGAGAATTTTTCTCCAACTTGGCAAAGGTACTGCAAAATATTCAGGTTGCTTGAAACTGACCCTGAGTCCATCTTGCCAATCACCACAATAAACGCAACCACAGATCCAGGAAATAAATGACAGTGTCTCTGAACAGTCCCCGAGCCCACTGCAGAAGCATGGGTTTAGTGTACATCTGGTCCCCACGGCTCTACTCCCCCAGTCCTGGAATTCAGCTCAAAAGGCAGGGCCCTGCTGCTTCCTGGCTCTTCCACTCTGACTGTCTTCATACGCTCAGCCAAGCCCACCCTGCTGCTAAGGATGATGGACGTCGGTGCTGAAGCGGGGGCTTCTGACGGCAATTCAGGTTTGAAACTGAACTGAGCTGCAGCAGAGGGCTGAGTTATACCTACCTGGAATGCCG